TAATTCTTGATCATATAGATATAGGACTAACTATTTCATTGCTTGTCAATATGTCTCGAAGTGTTGATGAAATAAATGATGAGCAGTCAGCTACCCCTGAAAGAAGATCATATTTGTTCTTTAATAAAAATGGATTGATACTCAATGATAATAGGACGCTTCAAGCATCTATGTGAATCAATCCACAGATGTTGCGTGAAAAGGATTATCGATACCCATCAATTCCATCTCATACTTGCACAAAGCAGTTATAATGCTTCAAGTTCAGTTACTTAATCGTTGGATTTGAAGTCTATAATCCAATTAGCAGTATATTCATCTCAATCATTGATTGGCATTATAGCTAGACGTCAAGCCTAACCAATTAACAGTATTTTGAGAGTTAAATCGTTTCAAACGTTTCTTTCTCCAGTGATTATCCTTAGTAATATTGTTAGTCGATAATGTCAGCATCATGGAACTTGGATTAGTCCAGAGGATATGATAAAAATACGTCATAGATGTGATATATTCAACTAGAGTTACTATTATTGTCGACGTCATATACGATCATATTTTAATGATTACACTCAGTTTCAAAGAAAGTGACGCACTTGATATTTGACCTATCTTCTTAAAAAGAAAATAGTAGGCCGATTTTTTTCTATTTGTTGGTAGGTAATGCATTTGTCCTTTGAAAAAAATTAAGTGGTGAAAATGTTTTCAAATAAGCCTCCTTGATGGTGGTGGAATAACTCGAACACTGATTTATTCTTAATTTTTGACTCACCCTGTGTGTTAATTGAGTGATGGCATAGAAAGTGCTTACAACCTTTACGGAAGAGGCTTCTTTTTCGAGCATTTTGTTTTTTTATTCATTGATTCATCTCTAAAATTTTCCGAATTACAGCTTTTTTGCTGATACCTTACGCTTATCCCACAAATTAAATATATGCACGAATTCCGCTTTGCGTCGTTCGTGTCAACGGCAGTCACGTGCGGGAAATAATCACTTTCCGCACTTGTTAGGAAAATTACTATTACCGCCCTAGTACTTTCCGCACTTGTTAGGTGAATAAATATTCCACTTATTGTGTAGCATTCTTTACAGATTTCAGTTCGAATAAATATCATGAATTCACCCGAATCACGTTGGAAATTTGCTAATGGCAAACTAATAGACATTTTCTTCATGCACTCACATAAAATAAGTCGAAAATCTGTCGTACGAAAAATATTATAAAAATCATAGGGAACATTTGAGACACTGGTCTTCAACCACTGATCCGTTGATCCGTATTAAACCTTGTCGATATTCAATATCCTAATACTGTTTTCCATTCGAACCCTTACCGTAACAGAAGATTCAAACTTGAGGGAAATAGGTATTTATTGATCTCCTGTGTGATCGCTAGGTAAACTAGCGGATGCTGAAACAGAATTCCAAGGTCCCTACATAATACCCATCATAGAGTGATTGATATTCTATGCATGTTTACGTTCAACCCCTGTAATTGAGTCTTGCCATATTATTCCACTTTTTTATGAGTACAAAAGTTGCTCATGAATAGCAAGAACATTTTCCGCTCTCGAATAATGTTTGAACCTGCTTCATTATTCCGAGCGAGCGAATTGATTTATTGAATGAAGTTGTAGCAGTACAATGAGAATCTTCTTGAATAGCAAAGAAAATTTAATAAGTACATGGAATGACTCGCAATTTGGAGTTCATGAGAATAATAACCAATTGCAAACTATGGCGCAATCTCTTCATACAGTAGGTAGAGGGGAGACCTGGGTGATTTCAGTCACGAGGAGAAACTGAAAAGCTCAATATTACCCGAGGCGTAATCAATATGGAAACTCCAGTTTTTTACAATTTTACAATTTTTCCAGTGATTTTTGGAAACCCTATAGTAGCAATCCTATCATGAGGTACTTCTTCATTGGCAATTTGTCATTTTCATTCGTGTGATTCCTTTGTCAAATGTTTCTTGGATCTTCATACTTTGATGTCATGTGATGAACAACCTGCTCGGCTCTATTTATCATTGTTTATTTATTCAGAATAATTATGTGTCCGTACTTAGTAGACATTGGGCTGGAGAGGATCGACTGGGACATTATAATGTGTGTATATTGTTGTAACATTCATATGTTGAGAAGAATGAGCATGTGTCGGTCTGCAATTAATGTCTTCTTCGTCTTGGCTTATCATCTCTGTGCATTGATAACCGCAGCTTTATTCAGTTGAAAATTCGATAGGCTACCTTGAGTAGTTTCATACAGAAAAAATAAAGAGTTACACAATGTAGATGTACTATTTTTTTCCGTTTAAGGATGCAATAGACAATCACACCGTCTTCTATTATCCCACAATGGCTATACAAGTGATCATATAGTTATACGCAAGGTCATGACAGGACACCAATGATGGGTCAATCTGATGTGGTTTTTTTTAACCTCAGCAATGAACAGTTGTTATGAACTCTGTAATAGTCGTCTGTCACTCAGAACTCGTTATTCATACCCATTTCTTGTTACATCCTCTCAAACCTTGTCAATCATTATCACTCATTGAACATCTCTGATGATATTCATTCATTTGTTTCAATTTCTTCATTCTCTGGATATCGCTGTTCGCCAATATTATTCAATAATTGTTCCACAGTCTTGAATCGAAAAACATGCGAATTGGATGTTACTGAGGTCTATATAGATTGCAATAGAAATTGACTACTCAGATGTTCTGGAGTCCACAAGTAAATATATAGAAGAAACATTTGTTTCTTCAATGCCTTTCCCCCTTTATTTTATGAAAGGGTCAACTGAACAGATTGAAACATGGGGTGATGAAATTGATACATGAATACTATATTCTGAAGTGCAATTGAAAGATAACAATTTCAAGATGATGACTGATGACCTTGAAAAAAAAATGAATGGAAAGGGAAGTCTTGTGATACATCCTTTCAAAGCGTCTGACAAATACTTCACAATCCTAGAATATAGAGTCAATATCTGTACCTAGTACAAAATGGCGGAACATTGATTAATTGTCTGAAGACCTCGACGTTTACTTCATTATTTGAGGAAATGAGCTGAGCTCAGTTCGGAAGATTTCCGAAATGGTTGCCTCGAACTTCTTGACATACGAACAGCCTATCCGATTGTTCACGCCGAACATTTCCGAACACAGTTACGCGTCGATATTTCTACAAATATGAATCATCCTCTGTCGTATATCCAATATTGAAGCCTATGCAGTTTCGTACACATTCTGCATCAAATCTGGCGAGCGTGCTGGCCATTCTGTAGGATCCAACGATCGGGTAGAGAATCATCCAAATGTTTTTAACTTGTCTGGAGTATTGTGGTGATGCTCCATCTTGTTGAAATGTGATATCCATATGGATGTGTTAGCATCCAGGCAACTATAAAATATTTTGCCATTCTGTAGTAGTTGAAGATAGCGACATTATGTTCTAGAGTTTTGAAGTATTCGTCAGGATCTTCAAACGGATGTGTCACAAGACCCTACTTTCCATTTATTTCTCTTCCCAGATTTCGCTCGGCCGCCATCTTGAAATTTCCATGCATCAATTTTACTACAAACTATGGTATTCATGCATCAATTCTATAATCTCAAGTTCAATTTTTTTCAGTTGACCCGTTCAAAAAATAAAATGGGGTGATAACATCAAAGAAATGCACACTGAATATCAGCAAACATTTTCATACTGGGTAATTCGAATTCGAGGGCCACTCTTGCGATCTCAGGAACTAAAGAAGATACGAATTCCGAGTATTTCCGGAGATATACGAAACAACTGAAATTTTGGTGAATGATTCGAATTTTTTTATGGCCTTTTTCGTTAAATAATATGAAAATTGATAGCACATTTCTATTGCAACTTTCTCACTGCTCTACGATAGATTTTCAGATCCACTATCCAACGTTTTGTTTTCGAGCCACCATCAACAACTTCATATTTTCATATGGGCTCTATACTGGGTGAGTCGGGAGGAACGCACCAAACTACAGGTGTGTATTATACAGGTATGAATATTTCGAAAAAACTCATACGATTCTTATCTGTTTCAATTCTGAATTTGAATAGATGTGTAGCATTTCATAAGACTTCATTCGTACAGACTCATGTCAGGACTGGAAACGAATGAGAGTCGTATCAGAACATATGGGTGTTTTCAAATTATTTTTACGTGTACAATAAACACCTGGAGTTTTGTGCGTTCCTCCCGACTGACCCTGTATATTATACATAATATGATGATAAATGATAATTCTCATCGCCCAGGTGGAGTCTCAGAACACTTCATTCTGTGATATTTCGGTGCGAATTCAATCCTCAGGTATAGCTTCCAAGATATTGACAGTGCAGTAAACAGCTTTGGGGTTTGAGAAGATCCATATATAACAGCTTCTTTTCTAGCTGATTTCCCATAAGAAAATGGATCGTTTATTGTTGTTTCCATATACTACATGCTCTCTTTCTAGCTGATTTGAACATTTTGATAATTAGTTTTGCATGAAACTCCTACTTGCAAGCTCGTCGACAGTCACATCAATCTGCAGACAAAATATGCAGATTGGTGTAGTAGGAGTTTGAAGCTAATTGTATTGATATCTACTCATTTTGCATATGAAATCACTAAATGAAGGACCTATAGACATATACCCAATATATGTTCTTGACACTGAAAAATGAGTTGAAAGTCGCCATGAACTCGCGAATCTGAAATGTATTCAAAACTCTTCATATTCTTCATATTCACTCATTGAATTACCATTTCTACTCAGTCAGTGAAATTTCAAACAAATTGATACATCATCGAGTGGAGTTCGAGTGAAATTTCACTAATTGTTTTTCATTGTTCGAGGATTTTGAAATATTCCAGAAAATCTGGAAATGAAATTATTTTTCGTCGCCCTATCAACGGTGCATTTCCGTATATTAGAATATAAAAAAAAAACATTCTCATTTATGTTATACTTGCAGGATGGCTTACGTAGAAGAATGGATAAACTAAAGAGTTCAATAGAAGAAGGAAACAGAGCTGTCGACAAGGAAAGAGAAAAGAATGTTAGTTTATTACATTTAATATTTCCGCCTGACATAGCAAAGCGGCTTTGGCTGGGTAAGAGAAAATATTTTCCGTTGAATCTTGTAGAGAGAGAAATATTGGCTTCATTTCCCAGTTTAGCAGTGAAGTATTGTATCGAGAAACGAGTTATGACAAAAAGATTTACTATCTCATTACTCTGAACAGAATTATTCGAACCGGAAATCATTGAGATGAAAAAGAGAGAACGCGAAATGAAGAAAGATTATAATGATTTCTTACTATACCATAATTTGTTTTTCCTCGGATTCTTCTACGTTCGCATACAAACCTTTATTGAACTATTTTTAGTAAAAAAAGTGGTTGTTTCTTGCACACATAATAGTATATCATTCAACAAGCATATAATGAGCGTAGCGAGTGACATAATCAATCTGAGTGGATGATAGCTAATTATATGCGAGTAGTATACTATATTTTATCCACAACTGGTGTACAAAATATTCATACCGGGTGACACAGGCTATCGGGCCACCCCTGTAACTTCTGCATTCGTCAACGGATTTTTCTGAAATTCGGTAAAGTTATATAAGCAACTATTTCGGATTTGATCACATTACAATCCAATATGGCGGACTTCCGGTTTTTCTGGAAATGCCAGCAATTTTGTTTTTTCAAATGGAACACCCTGTATATTTTTACATATTCAAGTTCACCAGGTCAAAACAAGTGCAATCTTGATGTCAAATGTCATTTATTCCACAGCCACCTAGTTGAAAAATTATTCTTACTGCAAGGAAATTCATAAACTAGTTGTTGATTTTTGAATGTATACAATTTGTTACTGCACCGAAAAACAAAAATAATATTTCATTTTGTTCCTTTATGTATGTTCTAGAGAAACGGGTAGGTGGCCCATAGGGGTTCCATTTAAAAAAAAAAATTTTTGATCAAAAAGTGATGTGGCTGAATTGATTCCTGGATAAGTGACACAAAAAATAATTTTTCAGAAAAAAATATGTTCTTTTGTTATGTGTGACTCATTTTGAATAGTCTTGTCCACATCTCATTTATCCACGAGGAGAAATGAAAAAACAATTTTGATTAAATTTTTTTCGAAAAAATGACATTTGACATTAAGATTGCACTTGTTTCGACCTGTTGAACTTGAATATGTAAAAATATACGGGGTGTTTTATTTGGAAAAACAAAGTTGTTGGTATTTCCATAAATACCGGAAGTCCGCCATATTGGATTGTAATGTGATCAAATCCGAAATAATTGCTTTTATAACTGTACCGAATTTCAGAAAAATCCGATGACGAAAGCAGAAGTTACAGGGGTGGCCCGATACCCTGTGTCACCCGGTATAATATAATGGAGATTTGACCCGGCGTCTTCGCCAAAACTTTGAATGTAACAATCTTAATAATGAAATTCCACGCCCGAGACTAGGTAATCCATCTTATTAACCGCCTGTCCCATGTAAATAGTTTTGTCTACGACTACTTTTCTCTTTGGTATGTGAATTCATTTTCAACAACTGTTTAATCATAGCTTATTTGACATTATCAAAACTTATAATTGAAGATACAAGATAAATGCCACAATTGCAACCGACATTTCGAGAATGCATTTCTGAATTTAGCTTTGATTGCAAAGAAATTCACTTCAAATCTCTAGAGATTCAAAGTGACTTTAAATTCCTTGGGATTCAAAGTACCACTTTTTCCCCTGAAAATAGGGAATAAAGGTATCCTTTAAATCCCTGAAGTGCATAAAATATGTTCATTCTGATATTTCAATATTCTTCCAGGCGAATCTATCGAAGCGAAAACTCACGAAGACGTAACTATGTTGTTCAGTGATATAGTCGGATTCACATCTATTTGTTCCACCGCCACCCCTATGATGGTGATAAAAATGTTGCAGGATCTGTACAATCAGTTCGACGTTTTTTGCGGCCAAATAGACGTATACAAGGTTGGTATCAATGGTAGACGAGCTGAAAGTGCACGGGTGAATATTTGTAGAGAGCACTTCGTAAAGATTGAAACTGATAAACCAGGATGATTTGTGAGCACAAATTAAATGCTACCTGAATTGAAGAATCTAGAGACAGGAAGCAGAAAAGAGGCAGGGCGCAACAAATAGTACGTGCGGAAACAAGTTTACAGAAAATGTCCTGCTGAGAGCTTCGCTCACGGCCGATCCTGAGAACAAAATCATTGAAATAGCGAATCATTATCAGCCCCAACAGTAAATGCTTTGACAGTATTTTTTTTTCGATACATTTCTTCGAAAAGAAATGGAAGCGACCCACACGGATTATTTGTTGAGAGACTTTGTTGTGCAACTTCCTATTGAACGATGCTTCATTTCGGGTAGTATTTAATTCGTGCGGTTCGGGGTGGGAGTGAATCTCTGTATCTGGTACGTTTTTACATCATTGGTACTTCCTCACGTTTTCAACGTAGGTAGGTACGTTTGTTTTAGGTTACCAATCATGCTGTCACATATACAGGGTGATACTGTTTTTGTAGGTACATTGATTCTGGTAGGTGATGAGGAACCTTGAAATTTGATGATTTTCCTCAATGAACATACCTCTGAAAATGCATCATAACTTGAATAAAAGGTTGAAGTTCTTCGGAAAATACTCTGAATTTAATACAGTTTTGGAGCGTTGGTCCAAGTATAGATCCCTGGGGCACACCACATCTTATATACAGTCTACTCATCGGAGTATGTTGTCGTTTCCACAATTTGGCTTTGACCTGACAGATATGACTCTATCCATTTCTGAGAGACACCCCTGAATCCATAGTGGTAAAGGTTTCGCAACAGTATTCCGTGGTTCACAAAGTCGAACGCCTTAGATAAGTCACAGAAAACTGCCGCAGTATCTTCACCTCGATTCATCTCTGTGTAAACGTCAAACAAGAAAGAAAAAATTGCATCATCTGTATCTTTTCTAGCTTTAAAACTGAGCAGAGCATCAATGATGATCTTATTTTTAACCAAGGAAGCCGATAACCTAATCTTAACTAATCTTTCAAAAATTTTCGCTAAGGTAGGAATGAGAGAGATAAGTCTATAGTTTGATGTAGTATTTCAATTTCTTTACTATCATTGAAAGTATCAACATGAAAATGCTACAAATAATCATTTAATACCTAGATCACACTAATACACTTCCAATTTTTGAGAATATTGCATTCAAATATTTTGTGATAAGGTACTTTCTTTTGGATGAAAAGTGCAGTACTTTACACACTCCACCAAGGGAGCAGAGTGACCAAAGAAAACGTCATAATGATGTCAATGCTGATTGTTCGGAAGAGTCAAGAATGAACTATAATATCATGGGTTCCTCCCATTATTTTCCATTCAACGACAGGACTCTTACAACTTTTTGATAACTTGATATAACGAAACAGTATTCGACGTGTCGCCAAATACTGGCCATGACTGTATGTTAGAAATTTCGACCAACGCATACACTCATAATTTACATACAAAAAGTGTGAGAATTGTTGCAAAAATTAATTTAGGTTCCTAACGGCACAGTGTAGTAATTGAATGTCAATAATTCATAATAAGTCCATTCGCCCATTATGTTTCGTACACTGTTTTATTAATTCCTCAGGTGGAAACCATAGGCGATGCTTACTGCGTAGCAGGAGGGTTACACAAAGAAACCAACACACATGCTCAACAAATTGCTTGGATGGCACTCAAGATGCTAGAGACGTGCTCATTTCATCAAACTCATCAAGGACAACCTATCAGGGTGAGTCTGAAAATATCCTCGAATATTCTCCAACCAACAGATCCTTCCTTCCAGTATTTCATTATTTTCATCTTCCCTGGTCGAAATGGAATAATGCAGTAGGTAGGTACACAGGAAACAGAATTTCACTTCATATCAGCAATCTGATGGGGAAATATGCTTCATAATTCATACACCTCATATTATAGTAATATTGCATGATATTGTCTGGGATTCTTCGTATAAAATTGATGTACCTATTATTAGGTCATAAATATCAGAAGTTACAGAAAATCCATGAACAAGATGTTATACAGTTATTTCACTTTTCCTCACAAGCAGTCTTTCAAAATGATGTATTCGTGGATTTTAAATATCCGACGTGAATGAAGTGATGGGTTATTCGATTAAGTTCTTGAGTTCGATTAGTGAGAACATTATAGTCATGCTACAGGGTGATTCTTGACCTGTAGGCATTGGATAGGGAGGTTGTGAGCCATGATATATATGGACAAGTGATGCGCATGTGGAGTTTGGTGGAAGATTTGTTAGTTTCCAATATATTCCAATGAATGTAATAGTTATTTGATGGATGCGTTTTGAGTATATATTTTGAAAAATGTTCTTCTATTCATCTGGATAATCTCTGTAGATATAATTAGTTTGTATTTTTAGCACAGTCAGAATATCCTTTCGTTGTCAACCTCGAAATATGTATAGAAGAGCACTATATCAAAACACGTTTGTCTATAGAACGAAGCTCTAGAATTCATTGACTGAGGAAGTATTTCCAAGAACTTATTGATTGATTATCTCTATTACTCCAAGAAACATTTCTGCTTATAATAGGGATACATGAATACATAAAAAAATAGAGGGTTGATCAATGATTTCCCCTTCCCTCAGTGGAAACACATTAATATTGTTTCATAAGATGAAAGTTATAACCTTTCATTTCTGAGTAATCAAATCATGCCACTTATTTTTCATTCAAATTGTCCGGAGCAAGTATTTTTCTAAATTAATTTTAAACCTTTTTGTATCATGTATTTTTTCCAACTCATTTGGTAATGAATTGTATAAAATCATTCCATCGTGGAATATTGATTGTTTGCCAATGTTCAACTCGAATGAATTTGCTATCAATTAAATCAATTGTTATAGTCCCATAAGTTATGGAAAGCTTAATTCGATATTATCAATTTTTTTGGCAAACTGAATGAAACAACATATTTCAAGTTTAATTAACAAAATCAGGTTCAGGAAATGTCTAGGTTTGTACAAATTCACCTTTGTTTTCTGTTTTCTCCAAAATAGAAATTGAATATTGCAAATTTGAATGAATGAGGCAAAAGTAAATACATTTCATTTCAAGTATTTCCTGGAAATACTTCGGATTTTGGATAAAATGCCTTCAATCGGAATCATTCTATTTCTCAAATGGTCTATGTATGTTCAGTCCATAATGATTTTCGATCAATATAGAGACATTATAGGGATTTTCTTTCGTGCGCTCCAAGCGATGAAGAATGGACATGATAATGATAATGAATTCAAACAGAAATATTTCTTGGTTCCGCCTATCCTACTTTTCCATTCTTTCCAAACTTCAAGATTCCTCACTGTGGCTTCTATATCAGTAACTGAATGGTTATTTTCGGAATTTCCAGAGAAACTCTCAAATATTTCTCAGTTCCAGACTCAGAGTACTTATGAGATACTGGAATAACCGCAGTACAGCCCATGCTGTCAGTTCAAGTCGTGTTAGATCTTGCCCTTCTTCAACTTGGGAGTAAATATCTCTGGTTGACAGGTGCCAATAAAGACACTTCATTTACAAAATACCAATTCTTTCACTACAAATTCACAAGTGATTCAGTAGTATTATAGCTATGGTGGGTTGGATATTGAGAATATGGACTCTCGACTATTGATCCCAAAATGATGCATCATGTACAGGGAGAGTCACGATGGTACCTTAGACGTTCACGAAGAACAGGACATAGGATCATTCTGAAAATTTGGTTACTCAATTAGTTGTCTTTTGGTCTATCGATCTACAATATTAATATATAATCAGCAATGCAGCTCTGCCACTAAGCCCAGAAAGTAGTAGCAACTTAGATATTTCAAATAACACACCTTGTATTTCATTGCAATCTTGAATTTTTTGTAAGCTGATTTCATCAATGAATCACACTTGGGGTCTAGCAGGAGTGATGACAGAGATATTGTGAGTAATTATCGGTCGAAACAGCTTACCTTTTGATTTACTATCTACTGACATTCAATTGAAACAGATACAGGGTGATCATAATTCTGAATCTTCAACCATCCTGGATTTGTTTCAATTCGATGTCAGTAGATAGTGCAAGAAAAGTTGAGATATGGAGATGAAGGCCGATTGACCGATAATGAATTGTTTCCACACGAAAAATCTCAAAGTTGAAATTGTTCGTTTTGTGAAACATCTAGAAAATCGGCTCTTCAAGATGAATCAATAATATACAGGGTTCTCCCTTTGAAACATCAAAGTTTACTTTCTGGATAAGCAGCAACGCAGCATTGCTGGAAATATATCAGATCGACAAACCAAGAACAACGACTTGAGTAACCATCGCTGGTACCATCGACCCTTACCCATCCTGTATAGATCTTGTGATGGCACAGATATGGAACATCACCCAATGATGCGACGTATGAAGATTATTCGATATCGCAGACATAGGTATTTTTTATTGGCTATTATTCCAACCATATTAGATGAGAAAAACAGATCATTAATTTTCCATTTATGACTTTCGCAAGGAAATGAAGTATAATCGATACGATCAGACAGTCTTCCAGGTAATGGATTCTCCTTCCATGATTGATGTATAGATATCGTTTCAATGATGTTCCATATGCCTTTCTATACCTAGAAAGTTTTCATACCTTGAATTTTCTCATGCATAATTCATTGAACAGAATAACAAATCCAAGGAGAATCGGGATGATCCACATCATTAGGGATCCATATCTCACAGATTTCTTCCGTGGCGGCAGTGATATAGAGCTGAGAGATGCTAATCTTTCCCCATGGAATCTGTGAGGGATCCTATATGCAAAACTTTGGCTTCGAGCCAGGAACAATGAAAGAGAAATATTCCTTATGATAACTCACGTAGATTAATGGAATTTTTGAGTCATTTTTCACAAACCTTGTTTGTTGGAATGCGGACTACTTAACCTTGGGAATCTGAGGAGGATCATACAGGACAGTTCAAAATCAAAATGATGTTTCCTAGTCGTTTGTATAAGACGAAATGAATAGAAGGTTGGTGGTCATCTATCATATATACCTGACATGTGGCTGGGGAATTTCATGAGCATTAAAAGTGGTGTTACGATGTATGTACCTGCATTATGTGCTTATGGAACACGAAGGTGCAATACAACGTTGAGATCCTTATAACGATTCCTAATTAGGTTCTCAAACATGAAGAAACATCATCCTCCCCTCATTAGTATCATCCACTTTGAGCTTTCCTGGATAGGTAACTGTTGTTGGGATGAATGTCACTTGATTATGACGATACGAGAATTTGCAAACTATCTGATGTCTCAAAGTAGAAGGATCAAATATTGATAAGATATTCACTCCAAAAAAGCTAAGGCTATCAAAATGCAAAAGAAATACCTGAAGTTTTACATCCAACGACGTCAACATAAAATTTTTATGAGAATTTCCATGAATTGAAAAAAGGGGAGCGAGAGAAAATTAAATTGTTGATTCGAAACTGGTGACCAGATAGGCTATATATTCTTTATTTCAGGGCGATCAAGAGACATTGCGGAGAATATTGATCAACTATCTCAGCTGGTTTCATATGAGAACAAAATTCAGATAAATATCATCCAGATCTGGATACGAAGTGAATTGTCTCTAATTGGTAGTCAGTCCTATCTGTATACAATGTATTCAATCATTTTATTTAACATCGTGAGAACAGAGAGAAATTATGTAGGAATTGGTGTTCTTCTTGAATTTCTGGAGGTTATATGCCTCAGGGAACACCATCCTTGGCAATGTGTTGCAGAGCATCGCTGTTCGTTGGATGAAAGAGTCTTTGGAAAGAGATATGTTCTGTAGGTCTCCAAAGTGGTCACGAAGGAGTACGAAACCTCAACTCGACGGGTTAATTTCGCGGGGACTGCCAAGGGAGGAACGATTGTTGATATTTCAGAACAGCATCGTCCATGAAAATATCTATTTAATAGAGCCAGATCGCCAACTTTTTTGCGCTGTTCCAGAGAAGTGAGTGAGTTTGTGAGCGAGGCATCACCCACGAGACGAATTGCCCTTTTTTAGACAGGATCCAACAGTTTCAGGGTATGTTTGCATGGGTGCTGCACTCCAAATATACAGTGTGTCCATTTAGTGCGTAATTCTTCGATATCTCGCAAGCCATAACCTATAGAGAAAAACTTTGGAGAAAAAAGTTTTTCAGTTACTAAAATTGCTCATTTCAAAATTATTTTCAACATTACTGGGTGTTTTATAAAAGCAGGGAAACTCGAAGAAGAAATTTTTTAAATGGAACACCCAGTATTGTTCATTCGGAATTAATTCCGCCGAGGTTCACCTTCACATCGCTGTAAAAAAAATTGAAATCGGTTGCGGCGTTGCCAAGTTATAATTGATAAATTTATTTTTACCATTATTGAGGAGTCATGTTGAATTGGGCATGGTATATTCATTTATTCAAATTTTGAAAATATTTTCGGCATACGGTAGAAGCAAGGTCCCACGTATACCAATCCAGTAATTTTGCGACATGTTCTTCAACAGGGTGCTCAATTTTGCATTTAGAATTTTGCAAGGTTCAGATGACATTCATCAGAATTTTTCAAATGGAACACCCTGTATTTTTATTCAAAAATTCATTCCGACATCTTTCACCTTTTTATCGCTGAAAAAAAATCGGAATCGGTTGCGGCGTTGTCAAGTTATGGTTGATTTCCTTATTTTTACTACTATT